GGTAAGTAATTTGTTATTTGTATATTAATTATTTATTAATTGCGTACGTACAATTTAATTTAAACAATTAATCGCGTAATTTGGTTTTTATTTATATGATTTAAACAAGAAAGAATTAGAAAGAAAAAGATTTTTGTATAAAAGCTATAATTGTAAAAGTTTCCACTTTTAGATTATAGTTTTTATATGAAATTATTAAAGTTATTAGTTAGTTTTTTTTTTCAAAACTTATAAATTTATTTTATTAATTTGCTTATTATTATATGTATTGAATATAAAATTTAATGCGTATAATAAAGTTTTTGAAATATTGATTATTTTGAGCGTTGCTACAATTTGCATCTTCTATTTGTATATTACAGATCAACGACCCTGACACTCTGAGAGGAGGAGGAGGCCTAGGAGAGGCATCCTACACCAGCGGAGCAACCCTAGGGTGAATATTTATTATTTGTATATCAGTTGTTAAAAATCGCGTACGCGCATTAATCCGATCCTTTAAAATATTTAAAATTAATTTAAAATAGAGTCAAATATATTTTGTCCACGATGTTATATTATTTGACTTTTCGATGATCTAGATATAATTTGGAAAACGATCGAATCGCAACTGGCCCAACGGAAGTAACATAGTTGACCATTTTGCTTCATTCGAAAACGTTAATAGTTACCGGTAGGGTCACCCATGCCGGACAGGTCGAAGGGGAGGGGTCAGACTAAGAGAGATACCATAATTATTATATTAATATTTTTGAATAAAATGGAAGCAAAAAAGAAAGTAATCGAGAGAATAAAGAAAAAGGGACTCCAAAATATTTTCATATCCCCCTCGGAACTTAGAAATATCTTGATACATGATATGACATAGAAAAAATTGGTTTCTGAGAAACAAAAATCATTAATTTTGATTGATAACTTGGCATTATATTAAATAAAGAAAAGTTTTATTAAAACGATGCATAACAAATGGTCGTAATGACCATTAACTTACGACCGTAAACGAGTGTAAAATTATGCTCATGCGTCGGCAATAATAATTAGTCGGCAATGGAAGGAATTTTTCTCCTTCATTGACTTCTGATAGAAGTCAAAGCTACATGCTGGCTGATGTAGTCAGAATGAATATGGCCAGAATCAACGAAAGGTAGGTCCAACTGGCCCAACGGAAGCAACATAGTTGACCAATATCGTGGTCAAAGACGCAAAAATACACATGTTGAACAATACATGTGTTTGCGCATTTCTACGTGCAATGGCACATAATCAAGAATGCTACCGGTGCATTCTATAGGGCACGTGAGTAGGACACGTGAGTAAAGCACGCGAGTAGGGAACGCAATTAGGGTACGCGATTAGGCTACGCGATTAGGGTACGCGATTAGGGTACGCGATTAAAACATACTCTCCAAAATCTCGGTGATTCCGGATTCTCGCTGGCTTAACCAGCAAAAGTAGGGTTGTTAGGACTATATATTAAGACTATCTTAACTTAAGATAGTTATTGTATTAATTTCATAAGTATTTAATTTCTTAAAATTCTTAAGAAAACTAAAAAATAGAATTCTTTTTAAGAAAACTAAAATGTAATACATGTGTATTATATTTTATTTTATCTATCTAAACTTCTTGATACATGATATGACATAGAAAAAATTGGTTTCTGAGAAACAAAAATCTATCCTATTATAATTTTCTTATAGTCTTGTCCGTAATCTTTTATTTTTTAAAGAGTTTTAATCATTAGCAGCATTAATTAATTCTTTCACGTTCATATGGTCGCCCGATAATAAGTATATACTTAGGTTTTCGCAAAATGTCATACAAAAAAATCGAGATATATCTTACACAATATTGGTTAAATAAAATTAAAAGTTTCTTTTATATTTTGTGGGATGCTACCCCAAAAAAATCTCTACTCCTTCCAACACTAGAATATATCTTTATACAATATAAAATATACGAAACATTGTGATTTCCAAAACGCGAGTCTATTCTATTATAATTATTATATTTTCCTATAGTTTTAATCTTGTTTTTTCGAATTCGAAGGAGTTTTTATCATTAACAGCGTTAATTAATTTTTTCACATACAGACACATATTTATAAAATTATTTAGATATTAACTCTAATTACCCGTTTTTTCTAAATCAAATAAATGAAAATTATACACACACTTAATATTTGAACTGTCGAATGCGCGGCTCAGCCATGACAGCCTTTTATTGATATAAAGTAATGCACAGCATAGTGTCGAGATAACCAATCAGCATCGCGGAAAAGAAACAATAATACTTATACGCGAGTATCAATTTAACATGCCTTTTTTAAGAATGGATTAATAAGAAAACAAGAAAGAGAGAGAGAGAGAGAGAGAAAGAGAAAGAAAAAGAAAATATATATCAATAATTACAATAAATATAATACTATAATATAGAAAAATTATTGCAGCACTAAATTCTGTTTGCATTAAATTGTTTCTTTAAGTTAATTCTATACTATTTTATTAATATACATATATATAGTTTTATTATATGTATTTAAAAAAATTTTTTTATATGAAAATGCTTATAGATTTTATAACTATATTAAAATATGCATATATACGCAAATATTCAAACAAAATACATGATAATTATATTGCATTTTATTACATAAAATCTTTTATATTGGTACATATATGATAATATTATAATATCCCCCTCGGAACTTAGAAATATCTTGATACATGATATGACATAGAAAAAATTGGTTTCTGAGAAACAAAAGTCTATCCTATTATAATTTTCTTATAGTTTTGTCCGTAATCTTTTATTTTTTAAAGAGTTTTAATCATTAGCAGCATTAATTAATTCTTTCACGTTCATATGATTGCCCGATAATAAGTACACTGTTAGGTTTTCGCAAAATGTCATACAAAAAAATCGAGATATCTCTTGCAATATTGGTTAAACAAAATTAAAAGTTTCTTTTATATCTTGTGGGATGCTACTCCAAAAAAATCTCTACTCCTTCCAATACTAGAATATATCTTTATACAATATAAAATATACGAAAAATTGTGATTTCCGAAACGCGAGTCTATTCTATTATAATTAGTATATTTTCCTATAGTTTTAATCTTGTTTTTTCGAATTCGAGGGAGTTTTTATCATTAACAACGTTAATTAATTTTTTCACATACAGATACATATTTATAAAATTATTTAGATATTAACTCTAATTACCCGTTTTTTTTAAATCAAATAAATGAAAATTATACACACACATAATATTTGAACTGTCGAATGCGCGGCTCAGCCATGACAGCCTTTTATTGATATAAAAAGTAATGCACAGCATAGTGTCGAGATAACCAATCAGCATCGCGGAAAAGAAGCAATAATACTTATACGCGAGTATCGATTTAACATGCCTTTTTTAAGAGTGGATTAATAAGAGAACAAGAGAGAGAGAGAGAGAGAGAGAAAGAAAATATATATCAATAATTACAATAAATATAATACTATAATATAGAAAAATTATTGCAGCACTAAATTCTGTTTGCATTAAATTGTTTCTTTAAGTTAATTCTATACTATTTTATTAATATACATATATATAGTTTTATTATATGTATTTAAAAAAATTTTTTTATATGAAAATGCTTATAGATTTTATAACTATATTAAAATATGCATATATACGCAAATATTCAAACAAAATACATGATAATTATATTGCATTTTATTACATAAAATCTTTTATATTGGTACATATATGATAATATTATATAAAAAAAAATTAAATAATGTAGCGTATTTATAATACTTTATTCTCAGTTGGCGTACATTTTTTATATTTTATTATTATTGCAGGAAAAACCAATTTTTTATTGAACAATTTTTTATAGGCGCAAACATGTCATTTTTTATTTTTTATTTTTTAAAGTAATTTTTTTAAAGATTTTTGTTACTTTAATAGATTCATACAAAAACAATATTAAATGATATCAAGATGATTTGGGGAAATAAAACAAAATGATAATATCAGAATACAATAATTAATTTTTATATTCTCAAGATATTATTTCTCGAGTTTGAATACAGAGTTAAGCATTGCAGGAATAAATTTTGTTGTTTGTTATGTTTTTAATTATTATTAGCAACAAATTAATATATCTCTGCGAATAAATTTAATTATTGTATTTTATCAACAATATAGGTTTCGTTATAATATTAAATATTTCTATAGATTAATTATAATGGCAAAAATTAATTACTTTTATATAATAAGAAATAGCAGCGATAGAGAGAAAGCATTTTTTTTTAATTAATAAAATTTTATACTATGTATAAAATTTTAGAAATTAAAAAAAATGATAAATTTTACACTATGTTATTAGAGAGATAAAAAGAATGGACTTACCTGGTACATTAAATTTTTCACTTTTTTTGAAATACGGAAGAACATCCGCGTAGGACCACCCCACGTTGCCCAAACTAGCCCATTTATCGTAATCCAACTTGTTCCCGCGTGTATGGATCATATAGTTTAAAGTGCACACACATAATATTTGAACTGTCGAATGCGCGGCTCAGCCATGACAGCCTTTTATTGATATAAAAAGTAATGCACAGCATAGTGTCGAGATAACCAATCAGCATCGCGGAAAAGAAGCAATAATACTTATACGCGAGTATCGATTTAACATGCCTTTTTTAAGAGTGGATTAATAAGAGAACAAGAGAGAGAGAGAGAGAGATCATATAGTTTAAAGTGCTCGTACCGCCCAAAGCTTTACCTCGCGGCCAGGAACATTGGTGATTTATCATCCCCAAACAAGCGTTCTTCTGAGGTTCCACTTTATATCTCCAGTTATAATCAGTCAATTGGAAATAACCGACCAGTATCGGAACTTCATTAAGTACGCTTTGCGAATATCCGGCTTCTAATAGGAGAACTTTCCATCCTTTGTTCTCTGACAGACGATTAGCTAGTACAGAACCTGCCGATCCAGCTCCCACGACGATGAAATCATATCTGGCGTTGGTTGCGAATTCGATATCTTCTGTAGATGAATTACCGTAGCTCTTGACGAGATTTAGGAAGTTATTATTAGCGCCATAGGTTGATGCGATGATGATGAACGGTATTAAAATCTTCATATTGTACAATTATAATTAAGCAAAATTATGATTTTAAAAAACGTCTTTTATACTGAAACGTACCTTCTATACATGAATATATGTTTAATATAATAAGCACGTATGAAATGAAAACAGAAAATAAATTCAAAATGATATTCGTATTTATATGTATCTTTTTTTCCTTTTTTTCTTCCCTTCTTAATATTTACAATGAACAAATATTTCGTATAAATATTTAATCGCACAGGACGTCTCTTTAAACTTTAAATATATTTTTTTGAAAATAATAATTTTTGTAACTCTTATTTTTGTATGTGCGTATGTTTTTCCTTGTAACATACTTAATACAGCAAAGAATAATAAAACAATTGTTTTAATTTAAATATAATATAAAGAAAATAAATAAAAATAACCTAAAAGGAATAATTTAAATAAAACTTGTTTTTTTTAATATTTTTTATATTCGTTGTTTCCGTTATTGATTGAATGCACTCATTTTGTTTGCAATTTTAATTGTCTACAAAATATTACGCGTGTTATAATGTGGTATAATTACTTCGTAAAATATTATGATAATGACTTCTTCAAGTATCCCCATTCTTCCTTGATCATATCTGCTAGTTTTTCGGCTATCATATAAACAGGTATATTTGTATGCCCTGATACAATGTCGGGCATGATGGATGCGTCTGCTACTCTCAGTCCTTGAATATCGATTACCTGTACAGAATATTGCTATGTAAATTCATAAATATGTATATAAACACATTGTAAATCACAATATCTACTGTATCCTTTGTAAATATTGTATCTTTCAAATACCTTTAATTTGGGATCGACAACAGCAGTTGGGTCATTCTTCGGTCCCATCTTGCAAGTACCGGAGTAATGATAGGAGGTAAGAGTGATCGTTCTGATCATACAATTCCAATAAGCAAAGGAATCATAATTGTAATTTTCACATCCGGGGATAGTATCATTACAGAATTGCGAATCAAACGTCTGCATCGCCTTCGTTTGACCGACCTTTATCGCAGCCTTAATACCGGCGATCATCGTCTTAACGTCTTCCACATCATTGAAATAATTGGGCACTATCTAAGGTTTAACATTAACATCATTAGCTAATAATCTTATCCATCCACGACTTTTTGGTTTTAACAGCACTGGCAGTATGGTCCAGCTGTATTTATAGAGATATTTATTCCATATCTGATTCATTTGCGTATTAAAACCCATTACAATTGGAAGAAGAATATCTCCTTTGACACCAGTACCGACAAACACTAATTCTATATCCGGTAAACCGCTGCGTTTTTCTGGATCCTTAGTATTGATAAAAGCGAGAGCCTCACATGCGCCTGGAATCGTAAAGGGTCCCGATTGTTTTGTTAGGAAATCCGCTAGATATGGATAAACCGGATTGAATATGTCATGCACTTTTAAACCTACTGATGCATTCACTGTCCATGTCAGTCCTCCGAAGAGAGTATGATCCATTAGATTCTCTCCGACCGGCGCATTTCGGATAATATCTATACCGAGTTTGGTAAGATGTTCAGCCGGTCCAATGCCGGACAGCATTAACAACTGAGGCGATCCAATTGCACCTGCGCACAATATTACTTCTTTGCTTGCGAGCACGGAGATAATCCGACCATGTTTAATCAATTCTACACCAATCGCACGATTTGTACGACGATCGATTAGCACTTTTCTCACCATGCTCTCATGAGTCACGTGAAGATTTTTGCGATCGTGTATGGGGTGCAGGTATGCTCTATTACTGCTCATGCGAGTGCCGTTCATAATCGTGCTCTGCAAATATGAGAATCCTATCATATCTTTTCCGTTGTAATCTACTAGTGGATATTTTAGCTCTTCGCCAGCTTTTAGGAAAGCCTCTGCTAATGGTGTATGGAATAATGGATAGCTGATGTGCAATGGTCCCTTAGTTCCGTGATAAGTAGTGTCCGACCGCAATTCCGGGATATCGATTGTTTCCAATTTCTTGAAGTACTTGAGAATGTCTTTGTAAGCCCAGCCTTCATTCCCCATTTCAGCCCAGCGATCGTAATCCTCGGCGCCGCCTCTGGTGGCAATCATGTAGTTTAGCACACTGCTACCGCCCATCACTTTTCCTCTAGGCCAGTTACAACTGTTGTTATCCATACCAAGACAATATTTATTGGATGGCTTTGTCTGATACTTCCAATTAATGTCATTACTTATCTGTAGGAAAGGAGCGGTTAGCGGAATGTCCATGAGATTATTCTCGTTGGGTCCAGCTTCGATCAGCAATATCTTGACTTGAGGAATTTCACTTAATCTCGCGGCTACCGTGGCACCGGCCGTGCCAGCACCAATCACCACGAAATCGTATACATCTTCGAATTTAGGGGTCGTGTCCGGTATTTCCTGATTTAGATAACGTTGGCCTTGTTCCAGTAAGTTCAAGACTCCAACACCCACTCCAAATAAATTTGATAAATTCGATATATTCTCATCGCCGTACAGATTACTGTACCGTTTCGGTGAAGATTGCTTATCCGATTGTATCGGAACAATTATGGCAGCGATACTGAAAAGATGAATGAGCATTTTGCTTACCTTGCGACTTAGCATCTTGCTCAACATATCCAAGCAATTGGCTTTTAAACGTCTTGAGTGAGTCGCAATAATAGAGAACTGCCTCTGAAAGTTTGAATACATAGTTACATTCAGATCCACGTTTTATATAGATGTTACCGTATATCTCGTGTATCTCGTATACGATAATATATATAATAAATATCATTTTATCACGCGTACTAGCAAAGTATTAAACAGAGTATTAAGAAAGGTAAAAGGAGGATTCACACCGCGAGTCAATTAATTCCAAGAATTTAAGCGCAAAAACGTAATAGTATCTGTTTCGACTCGTTTTTAATGCAACTTTGATTTTAATTACGCTTTGTCTGATTTATGTTAGCAAAGTACATTTTTATGATATTAAAAATCAAACTATTATGTGAATGTGTTCGGGAGTCGACCTCGACGAGATCGCCCGAATCTTAGAGAAACGCTCAGAGTTGAGCGAGAAGCAATGTGTAGCGCGAATCCGTAGATCCGCTGGAGGATAAGAAGATTGAGAAAAGAGTCGAGTGTAGATTGTTTTAACTATTCGTTTATTTAGAATAAAGAAATGATGATATTCGAAACTATGATCGATTGCTATCGACCAGCTCGAATCGTTGTCGTAGGCAGACTGAATCGACCGACCGCGGAAACTCGCGCTCTGCCGATCTGAATTACAAGTTTTTCTGATTTCGAACCTTTGAGAACTTGCTGTTTGTCACAGTTTTTCATTCTAAGAAGAATGCGATCACGCACCAAGCGGGTGACCGCGACGCTGTTTGTTCTCGCTCGTGTTTTTACTCCCGACTGCTGCCAACCGCAGGTTGGCAAAAAACGGAGGGAGTATGCGTTTCACCGAGCTCGGATCGGTTGTCCT